TGAGGAAACTAATTCGCGATAACGCAACTCTGGATGAGTTCCTTACTTCTGCGGAATGTAGTCAGAAAAGGAAAGTTGCAGAAAACCTCGCATGTTTTTGGGGGAAGATTTCACGGGAAGAAAATCAATTGAGACCTCAGAAAAAGACACGTTGGTTGAATCAGGCGACGAAAAAGTCGTACTTGGCTCCTTCTGGTTTGATGTACGATTTAAACCCTGTTGAAAAGGCCAGTAGCCCTTTCGTGACTCCTACAACTGGCTGCTGGAAGTGAGTTCGATTCATGTTTTCAAAAAAATTGAGCAGGCAAAAAAAAAGTAAAAAATAAAACAAATCCCGTCGTCCGCGTCGAAATAAGCTACAGAACCGCCCTAAAATTTTTGAAGCATATTCCTGGATTATAATTGAGACAACATAAAAATATGTTCGCGCTCTTGACATGATATTGACCTTCCACGAAAACGTTTTCTACTTATTCGAAATGACTGTTCAAAATCGGATTAACTGACCATCGATAATTTCATTTGAAACGAATAGGCAATGGAATTTAAGAGATTTCAAAATAGAACTACATACCTATAACATGACATAAGTGATTCAACTCGCTGGATTACAACATACCAAACCCAACTCTGGTTGAATGTCTGAAATTCGAAAAATAAAAATAACATTTACTTTGAACTTGGAATGCTATAAATGATTTTTTCCGAATTTTGTTAAATTCTTGGTCTTTTTCATAAATGTACTACATCAAAGCTGCGATTCATGTATGAGATTCGAAAAATAAAAATAAAGTTAACATTGAACTTGGAATGCTAAAAATGAAGACTTTTTTCCCGAATTTGGTTAAATTCTTGGTTGTTTTCCAAGGTGTACAACATCGAAGCTGCAATCCATGTCTCCGGCAATCCGTGAAATCAATTTTGGCGATGATTCTCGAGTCCGTTCTCAGCAGTCATCATCCTCGTCTGAAGACGAAGGGTTTGAGAATGCATCGAAATCGGATTCCATGATCAGCGGGGTCTCTGATTTCTACGTGGACATTTTCGCTGAATTGGCGTATCCTTCTTTGAGCTCGGAATCGTTGCTGCAAGACCTGGGCCCGGCTGCTGAAAAGTCCCTGCTGTTTGAACAAGCCATGCTTCCCCATGGACAGCACTCTGCTTTCAGATGCCCGCTGCCGGTTTTCAGAGCTTTCTTGATCCTCGGAAAAGATCGCGTGGAAAAGTCATCGTCAGTGCAAGCTTGAATGATCGATAATTACCCGTATTTCCCAGATCAGTGTTCCCCAATTCGTGGTCCGTGGACCGGCGCCGGTCCGCGGGAAAATTTCTTCAACATGCAAATTTATTATAGGTATAGAAATGAAGTTTGTTACTGTATTTCAATCCAAAAATTTTGAGACAATGGTAGCTGAAATGATCTAATGAAAAATAAATTTTTGGTTTTTTCTCCTGTAATAGCAATCATTTAGACATAATTTTACCTCCTTAAATATGTTACAGTACTTCTGGTTTTCAACCTGAGAATCCTTTCTTCAAGCCCAGCATCATATTTTTTGCAGACATTTCCACTTTATAGTTCTTCACAGCTGGTTCACAACTTACTTTTTGCAATTAAAGTATTGTTCTGAGGACTGCAAGGTAGGTATTTTAAAATGTCATGCTGCACATTAGAAATCTTACGGAACGTTGCAGAAAATTTAATGAAAATTTGCCGGTCCACGAAGGATTTCATTAAAATTTGCCGGTCGATCCGCGAACCCAAAAAGGTTGGGGAACACTGTTCTAGAGTATCATGCGTCCTCGAGTAAGACGATCACCTGGGTTTTTCGTTCAGTTGCAAATCTGGATAGAATCCTATCCCGGAGTATTAAGCCGCACTCCCCATATTCAGTGCATCTAAAACCACAATATTCCAAGAATAAGAACACCCAAAGTCGAACCTGAATTGAACATGAATTCGACCGATTTTAATGCACAGTATTTTCATTAGAATAAGTTCTTCTGTTTAAAGTGGTCCGAAATTTCCGATTAAAATCAATGATAATGTAAACCTAAATTTTGAAAATTTATTCATAAATTTATCCCCTTTTACGACGCTCAATTTTTTTTTTTTTATTCCTCTCAAGTTTGAGAAAAATGTTGCGCGTGGTATTCGAGAGAATAGGTAGTCTATTCATTCATTGGGTGTTTTACACAACGAATGGCCTTATTTCAGAAAAGTGGGCGAAGAAGTAGTCGAACTCTGCAGGGAAGCATTGAGGGTGTTTCTGGGACCAAAAGGGATTTTTCAAGTACAGCTGGCATCAAATCTCAACAACACTTTATTTGGACTTATGCACGCAGATTTTGCTGTGCCGCTGGAAAACGGATTCAGGCAAGATATGCTTCAAATGTTGATGTGATATTCTGTTTCAAATTTTTCCTATTAATTAAATAATGTATTAATTAACTTAAATGTTGAAACATGCTGCATCCGAGAACATTTGGAATTTTTAGCCCAAAATACTAAATGTTTTCGGTCTCTACCTCCAGATAAGAATTCATAATTTTTTATTTTAGAAATTCTTCATATTGATGCGATGATTTTGCCTGTTTAATTATTTGAGTTCATTACTGTAGTGTTCCCTAACACGTGGTCCGCGGACTGGCGCAGGTCCGCGGGACTTTTTTTTCAGCATTATAAATTTATCAAAATTAGCAAGGAAATGTGTCTCTTTACCTTAAATTTTGGAAAGACTATGACGGTGGAAATTATAACTTGTCTTTTCTCCTAATGAAGCTTCGGAAAAAGTTTTACCAGCTGAAATAAATAATATAAATTTTTAATTCTGAAAAACCTCTCTTCAAGCCCATCTTTTTACTTTTTTGAAGTTATTCCACTATATATAGCTGCTTCTTTGCTTCATAACTTAATAATTTTCTAAAAAAGGAGAAACTTCTCAGTTTTCCTTTCTTTCAAGCAGAACTTTTATGAGTCAGCAATAATTAAAATTTAACTTATAGTCGGTCTGCAGAATTTTGTTTTTGAAATTTGCTGGTCCGCAAAAATGCTATGGAAATGTACCGGGCTGGAGACTGAAAAAGTTGGTCAACACTGCACTAGAATATTTATTCGATTAAATTATTTTTGATTAGGTTTCAAGCATATCCAGCAGCAGTTCTGATTTTGAGTGACGATGCCGTGAACCTGTTGCCGAGATTCTATCACTCATCAGCCCTCTTGACTCACCTAGCTTTGATATTGAAGACTGAATTCGACAATTTAGCAGTAATGCAGGAGGCATCAACTCTGATGTCATCTGGCTTTTCCAAACTGGATTTGGATTCCCTGGCCTCACAACATCGGAATAGTGGAAGGAATCAGAAATAGATTCCCCATCTTCTGGGGAAAAGTGCTCTTCTTCGTGAAAAAGCGGGCTTACATGTTGAACATACTGGTGTAATTTGATTGGCCGATGTGAAAAGGCTCTGGCCTTATCACATTTGTCAGCCCAGAATTGCCAATTTATGGCTATTATATGCATCATCGCCCTCCTGTTGTTGCTCACTATTCATGGCTCATCTGTGGGATGCCCACACCGTAAAACGCATGCCGATGTCGTGATATATGCTTCTCTCATGATTCCTCTTGATCCATTAAATATTCGACATTGAAAACTGAGCCATCGCTTTTTCTGAGTGAAAACGTTTGTGAAAACTCGGCAAGATTTCAGTTGCATCTACGGGAATGATGCGAGGAATGCCGGGGAAGGTTTTGGCATCACTGGTGATGAGATTTATGACATTGGGGAGCTTTCACCAGATCGCTTTCTTTGGATCTGATTCGATCAGTGTTCCGGCTAAATGTTGTGATTATTGGGGAGAGGCGCTGCTTTTGGATCTTGCTTTCGTTCCACTTTGTTGTGAGGACGCTTTTGTTCTCGGAAACTGCCAGGGAATATGAACTGGGTGGATATCTAGGATGATTTTCTGCACAAGAAGTGCTGCTGAATTGAATGAAAAAAGGTTGACTTTTTTTTGGGAAGCGCATAAAATAGGAAATTAGGTTCACATTTTGTAATCCCGGAGGTATCCGAGAAAATCGAATATTTTGAGTTTCTTGGCACGAAAAAGAGCTCCTTAATTTTGCAGCGGGAATTTTTCGTATGAATGATCCCTTATTGATCCATCTCATTCAGAAGAAAATCGTTTCGTGCTAAATTTTGTGATAATCCTTGAGTAATGTTTCATGGGGAAGCTTTCATGAATATCCTCAAAAATGCAAGAAGCATCTAAATTCATCCGTTTCCTAAAATATGTTCACTAATAATAAAGTTGATCAAATAATTTTCCAGAATCAAAAATCGTTTCAGATTTTAGTCCAGGTGTATTTTAGTCCTGGTTAAGGAGCGCAACCCATTTTTTCAAGATCATTAAATTTGAACTAAAAATCCACAATGTTCACGAATCTTAATTTTAGATTGAATGAAAGTTCAATTCCTTTGCTTGTAATGAAGTTTATTGATGCTGAAACATCCGTAGTTTCAATCAACTGAGACTGAAAAATTATATAAGACGGATACATTTCAGGATTTGGAATGGTTTATTGACTTTAGTAGCATTTTGAATGATATTGTTATTTTGTCCTTGGGAAATCTAAAAAAATTCAAAATTTCTAAGCGTTTTCTCTTGAATGAAGCGAATTCTCGCCAAATCATACAAAAAGGTGCGCGTTGCACTTGAGTAAATACCTCGTTCAGGTACAATATTACAATTTAGTCAGCCATGATTTTAGTTGAATCGGATGGGTTTTAATTCATTCATGCGCGAAATGTATTCGAATTTTAGACAAATGAGCTTTACAAATATGTAACACTACCTCTGAAATTTACACTCATAAGCGTCACGCGAAAAAGTGATGCTGTACGAAAAAGACATGTCAAATTGAAACGAAATTTTTTTACATTTTACAGTATAGTTGCCAAGAGCCGCTCACCTCTTGTTTCTTTCAAGGAGTGATAAATATAGTGACACCTTCGACACTCTCGAAAAGGGTGTTACATCATGGTAGCGTAGCAAGAAAAGTTTGAAGGTCTTAATGCTGCGTTTCGTCATTTCTCACCTTGGCAATAAAACTTGCGCAGCATGTGGCCAACTGCTTAGATTGTTATTTGGATAGGAGGCAACATCATAATTGGATCTTATTTTCTCGGCACCCCTGCCTTGCTTCATTCTTCCCTCTGGTGGGTCCTCTTTCCATGCGGGTCCCCTCTTTTTCTGAGTGTCACAGGGGCCATTTGTGTCGCATTTTCCTGTGGTGTTATTGGCTCGGATCAGCATATGAGTGAGTGAGTGGGTGAATGGTATCCTGGGGACCCCAAGCAGACAATGACACGGTTGATCAGAATGTAATAATGTTGGCAGGAATCCAATAAAGCCACGCTTGGGGCTGCCGTGATTTCTGTCTTCTACTTTTTTTTTTCTCCTGCTGCAAGGTGTTGATTCTATCTGGTTTCTTGTTGTTCGTATTGCTGTTCTGTTGGCTGCTGCTTGCCGTAATTTACCATCAGACTGCTTATTGGCCCTATTGTGGTCTTGGGCGACAAGGTATCATCTGCACTTCTGCGAGAACAGGTTTTCTTTGTTGTTGTTACAATGCTCGGAATTTCGCGAAATTTTCAAATGATTGCTCTTGAACATAAATGACGCTCCAGAATAATTTTTAAAAACAGCTTCACGTTTCTTACGTCTCTGTTTAAATTATTTGTGACAGCCTTAAAAATGTCATCCTTCTGCAAGTTAATACGCGCACATTTCGAAAAGCATATTCTTCATCCAGAAAAAAATTGTTTCGTGCTTAATTTTTTGATAACCCCTGAGGCTTCGAGTAATGTTTCATGTGAAAACTTTCATGAATATCCTCAAATGAAGGAAACACTGAATTTCATGCGTCTTCTTAATTCTCTTAATAACTAAAATCAATAATTAAAGAATGTTTGAAGAAAACTAAATAGTTTATAAATCCTTTAAAATCATGAATATGGTCCTGGGTTCCTTTCAAGTTGAAAATCATGCTAGATTATATTTAGTCTAGATTGTTTTCACAACTGCTTCTTCGACAAGAATCCGAACTAAGACAGCTGATCTAATAAAAAGCATCCACTTTAATGGTCTTTAGACAAGTTTTGGAGTAATATGAAAAATGATTCATCATAAAATTACGATTCTGTACATTTTACGAGGATTTTCTTGTTGTTCGTATTGCTGTTCTGTTGGCTGCTGCTTGCCGTAATTTACCATCAGACTGCTTATTGGCCCTATTGTGGTCTTGGGCGACAAGGTATCATCTGCACTTCTGCGAGAACAGGTTTTTTTGTTGTTGTTACAATGCTCGGAATTTCGCGAAATTTTCAAATTATTGCTCTTGAACATAAATGACGCTCCAGACTAATTTTTAAAAACAGCTTCACGTTTCTTACGTCTCTGTTTAAATTATTTGTGACAGCCTTAAAAATGTCATCCTTCTGCAAGTTAATACGCGCACATTTCGAAAAGCATATTCTTCATTCAGAAAAAAAATTGTTTCGTGCTTAATTTTTTGATAACCCCTGAGGCTTCGAGTAACGTTTCATGTGAAAACTTTCATGAATATCCTCAAATGAAGGAAACACTGAATTTCATGTGTGTTCTTAATTCTCTTAATAACTAAAATCAATAATTAAAGAATGTTTGAAGAAAACTAAATAGTTTATATATCCTTTAAAATCATGAATATGCTCCTGGGTTCCTTTCATGTTGAAAATCATGCTAGATTTTATTTAGTCTAGATCGTTTTCACAACTGCTTCTTAGACAAGAATCCGAACTAAGACAGCTGATCTAATAAAAAGCATCCACTTTAATGGTCTTTAGACAAGTTTTGGAGTAATATGAAAAATGATTCATCATAAAATTACGATTCTGTACATTTTACGAGGATGACAAGAATCCGAACTAAGACAGCTGATCTAATAAAAAGCATCCACTTTAATGGTCTTTAGACAAGTTTTGGAGTAATATGAAAAATGATTCATCATAAAATTACGATTCTGTACATTTTACGAGGAATATTTTAACGTCAACGTTGTTATTCTTCGCTGCCCTTGGCGTCACGACGATTTACTGGGGAGCACATTCATGTTTACAAAGAAGGAATGGGAATTATTCTAGTCAAATGTAGTTTTATAACGGTTGATGAATGATTTCTTGTCAGGTGTTCATAATAAAGATAAATATTGCTTCAATCTCTGCTTCTGTGTTTCAGATTTTCGTCAGAGCAACGCGCATCGGCGTTGATAAGCTTCGTTTTTTTTTTTCTCTCTAGCTTACAAAGGTTGCATACAATATCAAGAATGAAGAGAAAAGCAGCAAGTATGAAACATTTCCACCTGCTTGAAGCCTCCAATATCATGTCTTACCGAGCCGCGTTAGAAAATTGGAAGAAAACCGTGGCAAATCCCTCCGTTGTTCCATGACATAATTACGGGATTCCCCGGGGACTGTTGGGCGGAAAAAACTGCAGAGATTTCCTCTTCTACCACGGGGGTTGCGATGAGGGGGGGTTATTGGTGGGGAGAAGAACCCCGGTTTTGTTCCGGAACCTTGGTATACCAGGGAACCCGGGGAGAATTAGGTCTTTATAGCCATTAGTCGCGCATCAGGGCATCGATCCCGAACCTGTCCGATTAGTGCCGTCGCATTGCCTTGCCTTGAAGGCTTTAGCCTCTGCGAATTGTGGTTATCGATCCAGGAAGGCCCCAAAAGAGCTTATAATTGCTGCGTCTTGCAACACCTAAATAATACCCTTTTATACAAGAAAAGTAGGTCCCCTATGGGGTGAGTCGGGGGATGAATTATTTTCGTTTTACTCCAATTCAATGATTTTTCGAGGCTTATGGAAAGGGAAGTCTCGTTGCAATGAGGCCATATTGAGATCTGTAGAAATCTTCAGTAAGATGAATGTTCGTTGTATCCAGACTAAAAAAAAATTTGGCTATATTGGAGAGATATTGGAAAAAAGGCATTGATTTTAAACATACGTTTGTTTTGATCTAACAATACTCGTTGCAACCAATTTATACTGTATTTTTCTAAATATCTCAAATTACGAAAGCGTCGTACTCGATGTTCTGCTTTTTCTGGGTAATATGTGTGTTTCTCTATTTTTTCCCCGTCAGAAATTGCTGAATCATTAACTACAGTTTTACTGTAGATGTCTCCGATTTTGTCAGTGCAGGCGTTCAAAGTGGCTGAGTCTTAGTCTGCGGAAAAACATGTACCGAATTTATAAATTCATTATTTGATTGTTCAAATATTTATGCTCATCCAGATTGAATTTGAGAGAAACCAGGGTTCTAAGGCCCACAACGGTGGAAATAATGCACCTAACAAACTTGCATGTTTTTCTTTGAATTTGGACGTAATTTGAGTGCCAATAAATTAAAAAACCGAGAATGTTTATCGTAAAAAATGTACCGCATCAGCTACATTACAATGAAAAAATTCTAGGAAGCTGAAGTGATTTGTTTGTACATGCACATATTAATGTAAATGTCTAGTTTAGTATGAGAAGAAGAATCGGTGAACAAAAGCACGCTCAAGTCAGCGATGCAATTCAGGAAATTCCTGGTTCGTGAAAATTTGGATTCACGTAAATTACTGTACAGGTACCCAGCAAACATCATGTCAAGGTGCTGAGGAATATTTTCGAGACATTGTGTGCATTTGGTGTTTACTCTTCGACAAAACGAACATACTGTATATGCAAAATCGTGAGTTAAAACTCACGTTTTTGTACATATGTTTGAAATACCCTTGAATTATTGGATGACGGAATCAACTCCATCCAATAGTATACTACAAAACTGTGAGTTCAGACATGCTTACTGCTTGAATAAAGAAATCATGTAATCAATTTTTGAACTGTGTGCAGTAGTAGTTTCGTAATTCCAAAACGCGCCATTTTTCAGCATCAACTCTGAGACTTTTTCATCCATCTTCGGAGCCAGAATCCGAGTAAAAAATGAAATCAAACTCGGAAAAGAAATTCGCATGACAGTAACTACATTCATTTGGAATGCGAGGCAAAAACAATATCGGAGAAACTATAAAGCGACAGCATGGGTGGGTTTACATTTTACGTAATGAATATACCGCTCACATCGGAAATGTTTGCTCTAAAAAACGATTGGTTTCAACAACTCAATCTCGCATTAAGCATATTGGCAACCAAATCATTTTTGCATATGAAAGTTGGACACGAACAGACCCGGGTTATTTTTAAATTGCGCAGAAAAGTTTTGCCGATTAAGCATGATATCCATCACAATCGCTTCGGTTGCCGCAGTCGGTCCACTGTTGTCTTGAGTGCAGATTTCTCGGTTGTTGCCATTGTTGCTGTTCCCAGCAATGTGTTGCATGTAGGACACAATGTCATATTGATTTGGCGTAGGGAGATGGATAATGTCCTCATTCACCCCTGATGGCACAGAAGGCGTCGCAGTTGTTGTTGACGGCGACATCGCGCGGTCGTCGTCATTGTCGGATGAATTGACTGGCGATCTCGCTGAAAAAGGAGATAAATATATTATAAAAGTATTCAATTAATCGAAAATTGCCGTATTCTTTTCCGCGAGATAATATATACATGGATATATTCTTTTATGTGCGCACTCGTAATCCTATCCCAAATCTTGCTTATTTATTCAGAGGAATCCTCGCGGTTATTCATCGCGTAAGTAGAACGACTTTGTTCAACGACCTACGATGAAATCCAGGGATTCTTCGTGGGTAAGAATATAGATAAGAACCTATGCCAAAATATGATCCAAATAAACAAAATTTAACAGAAATTTCTTAGGAATTTTCATTATCACAACTTTTTTATGCTGTTCAACTTACCTTCAAGTGCTTGTACGGCGCGATTTTCGAACATTTAAGAGAATGGAAAAGGGAAAAATCCCTTTTCAAAGGAGTAAATATTTTCCTTAAAAAAACCTGGAGGTATGATTTATTATTATGCGCTAATGCAATTGTAATTTTTTCGTGTAGAAATTATCCAAGAAAATTAAAAGTTTGTTGCCCGATGATGATTCGACAGCCGTTTTGCGATAATGCAATGGTTGATATTCCTTCCGAAAATTAAGTTAGGAGAACTGTATTGAAAGCATTTTCGAAACACAACGACATGGGGCTTTCTAGGAAAGATATACGAGTACAGTGCAGTATTCAAAGTGTCAATTAAATGATCGATTCAATTATACCTGTAGGAGATTTCTCATCCGAGTCGGCATTAGGGCGATGGTCATCCGCAACTTTCCGCATTTGTTTCTTGTGTTTCATTCGTCGGTTTTGGAACCACGTCTTAACCTAATGCATATTTTGGAGCCCATTAAAATCGCTTCATGTAAATGACATATTAGTTTTTTTTCACCTTACCTGAGTTTCTGTCAAATTAAGAGCATTGGCGAGTTCTAGACGCTCAGGTGTCGACAAATAACGCTGCGCTTCGAATCGGCGTTCGAGACCTTGTAACTGTTGCTCGCTGAAAACAGTTCTGGCCTTCCGGCGACGACAGGTTCTTCCGAATTGGCCGGAACCCCCGGGTCCGGAGGGTTCTAGACCCGGAGCAGCATAACTGAGCGGGTGCAATGCACCAGGGACGTACACCGGAGAAGGAAATCCAAGAGCAAACCGTGCAGCTGGAATATTTGGGTCAGGAAAAAGATCAACTAATAAACCGTAAGTCACTATTCTGGAATCCTAATTATTTTGATTAACATATTTATTCGACGGTAGGCGGCACTATTCCTCCAAAAAATAATTTTTCTGTTTCACAGTGCTTTGAGGGGATGGCGAATATTAAATGTCATACGAATCAGTGCGGGTTATTATGAACATCTTAAGAGAGCTAAAATCTACAGTGCAAAAATTGATCATAATTTCGGAAAGTCACTATGAGTAACTATAGTGGCGTGATATAATTTTTTTTCAGATAGAGGGCGTTTCTTTAGAAGACCTTGATTTAAATTTGAAGTGCATGCCACATCCAAAATATAAATGAACAAAAGGAACTGTACGGACTAAATGAATATGTTTTACACCAACATTTCGGTACGAGCCATTTGTGCGTTTTTTGATACATACCAGTCTGCTTAGCTTGAAGCTTCGCATCAAACCAATATACATAAAAAGGTTTGCGTTGAATCAAAATAGTTTATTTCTAAATTTATTTGCGCTTTTTTGAATTTTTTTTTTCATAAGTTCAGTTGTGTAGCATGTCCTTCTTTATTTCTTTGATGATGTGCGTGTATTTTTTCTGAACTCTCCATGAATTATCGATCATATTCAGATCGCCAGACGTGATTATAGCTCATCACATTCAATATCATCCAGTCCTTTTTTTTGGAAAATTAATGTAGCTATACGTTATGCCTCCAAAAATTTAAGTTTAATTTCACTGATCAGGAAATATATTCTGCGATATTTTAAATTCGCAAACCTGCAGTTTGGTAGAACAATGACTGAGCGTCGCCCTGAGCACCATGCGATGAATTGGCGTTCGAAGAAGATCCGATGCTGACGGGAAATCCCGAGGCGGCGTTGCAATAAATTGGCCCCGGGTATCGAAGTGGCTCGAATGCTGGTAACAAACCAGGCTTGACGTTGTCCACTGGTTCTTCGTCATTGTCACTGGAATTTCCTATCGCTCCCGAATCTTCTCTCACGGCCGAACTTGTTCGTCGATCCTTCGGCGGAAATTTCCAGGAAAACTCTTGCTGTTCCGCCAGGCGCCGATGAAACGCCTCCTAAAATCCATTCAGCACTCGTAAATCAATTCACAACTTCGTCTCGAGATTTTATGCGCCTTCCGCCAGTTTTTCCCAAAATTTATATGCATCCAAGTTCATGTCACGTGATTTCATGGAAAATTGCACAGCCCTCGGCCAAAAATAGCTTTATCTTGTTTATTTACATGAAAAATAAAATAGGATTTAAATTCTGTTACGGAGAGGGATTTAATCTGAAGATTTAGGATTAGGTATCGAATCACAGAAAATTTTCATTCCAGACAAGTAAAAGAAGAAAAAGGTTTGACTCGCTAGTTATTCTTGCTGCCAGCCAAGGTAAGACACAATTTTCTGTTTGTAACATGGCTTATTCTTGGAGGCGGACAACATTTCGTTTTCGACGATGTGCTGTGGAAATAGAGCTAGAACTTATTAAATCCCTTATGCCTTAATTTTCATGGAAAATATCATCATCGCCCAAAGAATCTAAGTATAAGTTGAGGCCAAACTTTTTTTTATTAGAACTTGCAGCGACTAAATCACTAATTAGTACAATATTATCTTTTCCCTCAGAATCGATCGTTGGGGGATTTGGACACAGATTCATACTGATTTCTTTCGCCAAAAGCTATCCTTGATCAGAGCATGTTTTGCTATCCTAAATCGTGCCAAAGAAGCAAAACAGTCATAATGCGTTTATCTGCCGATGGCACGTGGTTCTTCTCAATTGTAGATAAGAGATCACTATTTGGAGGAACATTTTGTTTCAATACTGATCGGATAATCTTCCTGCTTGTATTCGGGGTTCTTTTTTTTACTGTACCTGAACAGTTCTCCGATCGTACTTGTCTCTCAGAAGGTTGTCAATAAGGAAAGCCGCAGAAAAAGGTTTCTTTTGGATACTGGAAATCCCGGGGTTTTTCTCCGAATGATTACCACATTCTGTGTCACTTTCAAGCTCGTCAGTGTCGTCATTTTTATTCCGTTTCAATCGCTTCTCTTCAGACCTGAGGTCCATGAGAAATGGGAGACTGTCACGCACTGGGTTATTGATGACTGACACCAGCCCATGATTTGGGCAAGGATCCCTTACTCTTCTCACAGATTTCCGCTGGAGTGATGCTGCTGCCTTTTGACATCCGCTATTGGGTCCGGGCGAACGGATGGGAGGAGAGGGTAGATGCCACGCCCACTTTGTTCCCCTACACTCCGCCCTTATTATTGCTTAGGCCTTTTGACGGAAGATTCGGCAGCTTGGCCTAAATGGCAACAACAGCAGAATTTGCTTTTGTTGTCAGTTCATTTATTGTTTAAAACTGTCGTCGGCAAACTGAATTTTGAGCAACCTGGTCCAAAGGGGTTGAAGTGTCCAACAGAATTATTTTATTGATGCTATTATACCTAAATTTCCTTTTCATAAATATCTGCGAAAAAAAAACGACTGAAAAAAGTGAAACCAGCTGTATTATTGAAACGCGGAATGCATATACTGCGGCACACATTCATGCGATACAAACAACACTTGTGATTCGATCTATCGCTGCCATAATTTTTGTTTCAGTATACAGTATAGTGTATTCACAATGCTGTTCAGTATATCAACTGTCATCAAGGGCACTTTTTCCCGTTTTCAACTCCAATACAGGAAGCCATTTCAAAGAACAGGTCGAGTGTAACCCTAATGATTACTTCAATTATATGCTCAGGTTATCATGCGAAAAATTGCACAATTCCGTCTTATTTTATTTTCCTTGCTTGTGAACAAAACTTGTTCTGATGAAAGCTATTTGAAAAAAAATCATGAGACCCCCGTGGCGTAGTCTTGTTAATTTTTCCAAGACAGTTGCAAAATAGTAAAAACCGTGAATATTATTTTTTATTCTGCTCCTTATTGTGAGAATAATCTGTTATATTTAATCCTCCTGTTACCGATATTTGCGGATTTCAACCTCTTTTCATTAATTACGCAGAAGTAAATGCATTTAAAATCAGCCTTTTTCCCGCCGACGACTCGGAGCATTCATATAAATGATTGCCTTTTTTCAAATCGTCTCAGCAAAATTTAAATTTCATTAAATTTGTTAGCGTCTTAGTTGTGCAGTATAACGGCATGATTTCGGCTGACGAAGGGCAGTGCTCGGTATTTCAGAATTTTTAATTAAATTTTCTATATATCAGTTCAACGATACTGCCATTTCAAGTTCAAGAGCACAATATTCAAGTCATGTTCTAATTTTGTTTAACGTGAATCAGGAGATTAGGACACTACTGTATAACCAATCTTGCACAAGGAGTAATTTAGCTGGACGAAGTCTCGTTAGGCGTAAATTCTTAAACTTTCGAAGTTCACCTTACATGACTTTTCGAAGCTCAGGTTCTGTTGGACGCATGCAAAAAAAAACAAGTTCTTTGGATGAAAGTAAGAGTTCACACAGGCAAAAATTCTTGATCGCAAAATTTGGATGCGAAGTCCGATGTCGACGAATGGCAATCGTCGGAGAGTCTTACAAAACAGCGCGCACAAAATTAAATCATCACTCCGTTATCGTTAAGTTATTCTCAGTCATAATTATATCCGATTTCCCCGTCGTCGTTCCTAGCGTTTCGCTTGCCACCCAGAAACAACAAGACGGCGTCGAGAAAAAACACGAGACCCACGACGAGACACAGACAACCGCAAACGAAACGCAGAGTCTCTGGATAGTCCGGGTTGATGTCGACAGCATTGCGGGTGCGGCCGACCAACCAGCCACCGGCCACAGTGTACATGATCCCAGCATAGGCATTGAAATTCCGCTCTTGTTTGCCGGGCGTGTGGCCCACGAAATAGGCCACAACTAGCGACAGTGTGACGACACCGACGCCGACGGTTGTGGCGCCGAACCAGGCAGCGAAATCCACGTCGCCTACCACGGGGTCCCCAGGCTGGAAAAGGGCGCCACGAAACAGGCCCAAGATCACCATTCCAATGACCTGCAAATGTTATGCGAAAGAAAAAAATTGTTACATCATGTACAATGTAAGTCAAATTTCTAGGGACCAGGAAAAAAATTCCACTTGGAGAGGTTTTGATTTTTGGAGGTTTCCAGTTGAGGAAACAAATACTTTCGTTGTGAGGAGAAGTGAAAAAAGTTTGGAGAATCATAAATGAGGATATTCTGGGCTTAAACTTGCTCCTTAATGAGTTTACACTTTGCTTAACTTGGAGGCATCAGGGTTCATTTGCTATATTAAGCCTTTCACTTCCTTTCAAAATGCATCAAATTAGTTGTTTTAATCATTTTCTCTTTCATATTTCAAGGAAATAATTACCAGAAGGCCTCAGAAAATTCGACTTACAGAGGTTTTAGAGAAAAAGACTTAATGCTAGGGAGGTTTTTAATGTATTGATTCTAAATGAACTCAGACAGGGACTTGGAAAAAATTTGACTTAGGGAGGAATTTGACTTGGGGAGGTTAGACTTATTGAGGTTCACTGTATATAACAGGTAAAATGATGAATAGATTTTTCAAGTACAGTATAAATATTCTGTAAATAAAGGCTCCGAAACTCGTTTCTTCGAACCTCAAATCAATGCTAATATAATTTTTAAATCCGCTTCCGCATTTACTCAGATGTGAGACCTCATTGTTGATTACAACGTCGTGTGATGCATTGCACTTTCCAAAAATTGACGATAATTTCGCGTGCGAGTCTAGGAAACATTTTCATTGCATTCGATTTCTTGAAAATCATAGAAATCCGTACATTTCTCGAATGCTACAGCTACCAAGACAATCTCATAAAATTTCTCAAAAGAACCCAGATTTTGCTGACATTGAAGTAAAAATGACGGGGTGGATTTATTCATTGGAATGGAATTTCAGACGGGAATGGAATTTAGCCTTTAAAGAATTGTGTTCATCAAAAAATCATCATTCACTATCAATTATGCGGAGCCAGCATCAAGAGTAAGATGTCATCGGATATAAAGAAATACATTGATGCATCAGAAACTATTTTTGTGGGAAAAAATGGAAGAGCGTCTTGTACTTGACTGAACGCGGGTAAACAAAATGTGAGCAGATTTCTGCCAAAATTTAAGATGTTCAATCAGAGGCAAAATTTGCATGAATCATTCAGCAGATGCACCTTTTCAGTAATATATTAATCATACGAGAATACTCAGCATGACAGAAATGTATACTCACCGACTCGGAAACCTTGAGCAGAAACTGTGGCTGCAGAAAATTGGAAGAAGCGCAAAATTGCACTGCTGACATGATTTCCTTTCACTGATCAAACGTCTAATTGGCCTTAATCTTCGATTGCACTGGAAAGAAAAATTTGCCTATGGCTGCGACAATACTTCGGCATGAAATGCTGACGATAAAAGTTGATACTCGCTTGGAATATACGAACATTTGTACGTACAGTATCTGAGTCTTTCTTATCTATTCCTGCTTCTCTTATCTTTCGTTCTTTCAAAATACCGTTGTGAAGTGTATCCAGTATCAAGTTCCCTTCTGTAGAATTACGCATGAGTTACTAGACTATTTTTTTTTTACCTTTCTAAGTGCAGTATTTTAAAATTCTACATCGGACGGCAGAATTCCAGTATGCTTTAAATGTTCAGATATACGGTACTCGTATATCATCCTATCATCCTCAGAAGTTGTAGGATTGCAACTGAAGAATAACTAATGAAGAAGCAATGCATTTTAAAGACTTCTCTGCTCTTATTTTTATTTCTGAATTCCCGAAAGTTGTTCTCTAAGAAGAGATTTCTGAAGTTTGCTGCTTTTCCCAATTTAAAAGATTAAGAAAAGAAAACTGCCTGGTTTTCAAAGAGAATTTTCGAACAAGTTATCTCCAATCAATAATTAATAAAACTTTGCATGGTACATATTATGTTACTACCGCGGAATGTTTTTCGAACGCGTTCCTCGAGGAGTTCGTTTCCCCCCATATACTCAGAAAACATTTCTTATTCTTCAAGCAACCCTTTTGAAGTAGCAATCGAGAATTTTTGAGGTTATTTTGTCAATTCAGAGGAGTGAGTTTTTCCAACACACAATAACTCATCACCTTCGTCAAGAGCTCTTATAAATTGTATTGCTCCTGGGCGAGTTGTTCGTGGCACGCACTTCACTCCGTGACACGTCAATCAGATAATTGATTCGGAGCACTCCATAAAATTTATCGTATTTTGCTTCTGAGGTGAATAAGCGAGAAATTTTCGTACTGTACTTTATTCCCTGAAAACCTTCAGAACAGGTTGCGAGTCAAGGAAGAATTTTTGAGCGTGTTTACATCTTCGAAATTTACATTCCTTCCGGCCTCTGATGTTCAGTAGGGAAGGTAAGAAACAAAAGCTTGACACTAAGATGAGAACTTCGTGCTTGAGTATTATCCGAGTTTCCTGGAAGGAACATTTTAAATTGTGGCTGAGAACCATCGTGCTTTCTGTATTCTTCCTGACGTCCACTTTCCAGGTAGGCGAGAATGTTATTC